AAGACATTCTGATGATAATTATTTCGATTGTTACTTTTTTATACTAGTTTGATTAGGTGGGTTAATTGTCTATCTATTATTTAATTAATCTATTTTCCGGTAAAAGTGCTGATTTTTTTATTACCCTGAGAACAAAACTAATAATGGTTACTGAGTTAATTGTTATTGTTATTAGTTAAACTTCCTAAATTAATTAATTGACCTTTTATAATTTGTGAGAAAATGAATGGAAATAAGAAAGGGAATAAAATTATCTATAAATCAGGTTACTTGACTTTGACAGTAAAGATGACAACTAACTAGGCATACTGTAAGCGGCAGTGACGTCTGGGCGCGTGTGTGACTCAGAAAAGTGAGACTGAGAAGTGCGTGCGAGAAAGATAGTTAAAGAAGGATAAAGAGCAAAGAGAAAAAAGAAAAGAGAGAAAGGCTGAAAGAAAGAGATTGATAGGACGAGACTGAGAGAAAAAGACTGAGAGAAAGATAAAGAAAGAAAGAGATTGAAAGAAAGAGTCTGAAAGCAAGAAAAGAAAGAGAACGAAAAAGAAAAATTTAAAAGAAGCGGCATTTTGCTCGTTGCCATGAAGAATTGCCATTGTCACTATCTAGCGTAAAGAAAAATTACAAATTTTTGGGAGTGGGCCAATCTTTATCAAAAACTATACAGGTGATGAGAACCATCATCTGAACCTATTCTGGAAATTTGGTAAAGATTGGACCAAAATTACGATCGCTATCGTTCCAGCAAACTTTGAATTTTCGAAGTAAAGTCTTCGCTTACGCTCAGACAATTACGCTCAGACAATTATCGAGATTGAGGTTTAAATTATCACTATAAGATTCTAATTAGTTGAGGTAAAAGTCTGGTTATTTTGATTCTAATAATGAGATTCTGATTAAAGATTTTGGTGTTATTTAAATAAGTTGATTCGGGCTACCGGATCAACTTAAAAACACAAAAGGGAAGGTAAGGAGTTCCGCCATATCAATCACCCGGTATGGTAAGGAAATAGTCAGGGAAAGGAAGAGACACAATTAAGATCACAATAAGATCACAAATAGCAAAGAGAGAAAGAGAAAGAGAAATACAATTTTGTTGTTGATTGTGGGTGAAGGGAAAGAATGAAGAAAGAAAGAGAAGAAAAATTAAAGTCAGAGAGTAAAAAAATTTGTAGAAAGAGAGAAGAGAAAGAGAAAAAATTACAAATCATGGGAAAGGGTAAATGAAGAAAATAATAATTAAAAAAGCAATTAAGATAAAGAGAAAGAGATAGATAAAGATATACAGGGCAATAAATAACTTTATGGAACAAATTTGACAAAAAATTACAGGTTCTTAAAGCATGATTAATTAATAGAATTAAACATTAATAGAAAGCACATTCCGTAATTTATATTGAGACCAATTTTTATTTAATTCTGATCAGTGGTTTTCGTAGAAATTAATTAAGATCGAAAAAACCCAAAAATCATTTTGTTAATCCCATGTTAATTTCCATAGAGAATTTGAATTTTCGCGCTTTTTAATTTTGCCGAAATTTCAAATTCGAATATCTTCAGAACGCTTTGTTGCTCACACTTCGAATTCACATATGTTATTTAGATCACCAAGTTGTATATAATTTAGTTTTTTTGTTTCTTTTTGATCATCGGTTTTTTAGTTATAGAGCTTCAAAGGCGATTCCCAATTAACAGATTGATTTTTTCGATTTTTTTTCGAAATTGAACTGTTCGTAAACCATTTGACAAAATTCTGTGAAAATGTGGCTCATAATAAATGAAGACCTGAATTTTAATATGAAATATTTTTAATTAATCAGTTCTCTATCATCTATTCGCTATGAACTTTCAAATTTGTTTCATATAGTTATTTATTGACCTGTATATGATGATTGTTGTTATGGTCAATTGGTTTTGTTAATTGATGAAAAAAGTTGCATCACAGATACAGAAAGTATTAACTTAAGTGGGTACTAGAATATACCAAGGTGGAGGAAATTAATTATACCGATTTTGCAAATTAATTGTTTCGAAAACTGTTGGTGATAGAAATGGTTTTTTGATTATTCTTCTGGTCTCTTATGTCAAATTAATAAATCTGAAACTAATTTTTTCATAAATTAAATACCCTCGAAATTATCCATTTAGTGTAACTGCCTCTTTTTAAATTTTTTAGAGTTTTAACATAGGAAATGATACAAGAAAGACAAAAAGTTGAAGAGGAAAATTTTTTACATGTTAAATTGAACTTTTCCTCCATGCTAAAACTATGGAGCTTTTCAAATTAAATTTTTTAAAATGAACATTTTTAAAACAACTAATTAAATGTAAAACTACTGATTTTCCATTGATTTTTCAGCTTATTTCGAAAATTGAGACTTTCAGCTCTCTATTCACAATTTTTCATGATTATTGAATATTCTGATTCTTGTATGCTAAATTTTGAAAACAGTATCATTAATTCCTCCACCTTGGTCCAAATCATAAAAGCTACAAATATTCACGCAAATACTTGTTATTGAGAGGACGTTTACTTGTAAAAAGTTAAATTAAATAGACTCTTGACACTGACCTCTCGGGATTTCAGATTCTATCGAATTAAGATTTCATACTGACTTTCTCAACTTATCGCTATAAATAACATTTTTTGTAGAGGTCTCATCTATCTTGGTAAGCTAAACAGAAGTTTTTATTTTAGTTATGACATTAGAAGGATATTAGAGATTAATTAGTCATGACCTGATAGTGATTATGATAATTTCGACCATTACTAATGAGCTGAATCTATTGAAAACTAATTGAAAAACTTTTTTCATCTATCTGGTTGATCAAATCAAAGGGGAACTCTTTTTAGCAATTAAAACTATGATCATTTGATGATAATCAATTGTTGAAAGTTTCAACTTAAACAGTATAAGTTACTAAAATACTCTATTCATTTACTTATAGTACCTGTAAATTTTTTTATAAAACATTGTAAAAATGCAACAAATGATTAAAAATCTCGAGGATAATTATTGAAATTAGCAAGTAACAAGTTATCTTTTCATCAAAAAATTGATCAACCAAACTGACTCCTTCACAATTATTTAACGCTAATTTGCAGAGATGAACGTTTTGGGTAATCAGTTATAAGCGCTCAAAGTTGTATCACAATCCTATTAATACATGTTAATATTTCAATGTCTTGATAAATTGGTTGAAATAATACAGCCAAATCACTAACAATTAAAACCAATAACCATAATTGCAAGCTATCATTGCTGAGTAAGATGAGGTAAGTAAATTCTGATCAGAAATACTTCACTTTTAACAACGTTGGATGGATCGAACGTTAAATAACAATCAATTTATTCACTTTTTTATTTCAACATTTATAATTAAGTACATTTTTATTATGAAACCAACTTTGTAGCCCAAAAAAGTCATTTATTAATAATTATAGCTAATTAACGGCAAAGAGTTGTTATAACAATTATTAATAGAACGATAATTTCGCATAAAAATTGAAACAATAATTTAAATCAAATGAAAGAAAGAGTGATAATTGTTTGATGAATATTTTAGATTATCATGAAACTATTAATAATAACAATAAAAGTTTACGTGAATTGTGGTAGGCCTAAAGTTAATTGTAATTGATGTAATTATAAAAGCGATTTGAGTGATTATTGTTTGACTTGGAGAGGGGCACAAATACGTACAAGTAAATTAGTTGATTATAATCGATAACAAATTAGTTAATTCGGGAAGCGTAGTAATAAGGAAGATAAAATCGCAACGATTCGTTGGTGAAACGAAAAGGAAAAAGAAGAAGCAAAAAAACGAAACACTAACTAAACATTAAGATCAATGATCTTCTTAATATACTTTGAGAGTGTGATTATCTTTATAAATATAAGTAAATTACGATGATTATAATTAATAGATTGTTTCCAGTCCGGTGATTTGAGCAGCAACAATCGTAGAACAAAAAAAATGTTCAACATTTTGGTTGAACAGAAAGTGAATTGGAACTTATTAATTGTTATCATTTACGTGGTAACAACATTTAACTTGTTAACTTGAGGTTTTTATCATTAGTCCATCATCAGTAATTATCTTTAATCATCAGAATGTATTTAAATTTAATGACCGTGAAAAGGTTTCTTCTTTTTCTCAAGTATCAACATGTAACGATCAACGATAATAATCAGCAAAACAAATTAAAATGAGTTGATGGTAGAATGAGATGATTTTCGTTTCGTATATAAAAACGATTCGTTTTCTGGTTAAATGTATCAGTTGTCAGTTGTCAATTGTTTAACTATCATCAGTTGATTTCTTTTGTTTTCTTCTTCTTCTTAAATCATCACCTTAAACTTCAATCATCATGTTTGTTAATACAAAGTTTCTTCTTTTGGCCATTTTCTTGTGTATCCAGGTAATAGTTATGGTGAGCGCTGGAAAAGACAAAGACCATGATACCATCATCATGAACGAATGGGGTGACATTGTCTGGAAAGAGGAAGGTAAAAATGGTAAGAAAGGTGGTGACACTATTGTGATGAAGGGTCGACGAAAACGAGACATCTTATTACCAATTATTCGTGCCAATCGTTACAATGCTGCGATTATGGACCAATAGAAAGATTAATGGACAATATAAGGATTAAGAAGCAACATCTTTACCTCGCCATCTTCATCATCTTATTCATTTGCTTCGATTTGTTATTCCAATAACCCGGTTAATCCGTTTTTCCATTTCATTCTTATACCAACTTTTTTCTCGATTGTTTATTTGTTATTTTCTTATGTTTTTGCTTACATACATTAACATCTTTGATAACTTTTTTTTCGATTTATTTTCAAATGACTGTTTACCTGTCAGGTGAAAATAATATTCATACTTTCTGGACGAAAGCTAAAGTTGGTAATCCATTTATCCAGTTAATCTCTTTGGTGAAACTGTTTCTAAACTGAGAGGATTAATAATGTTCAATCAACTTATACAGCTGATGTAAGAGAGAAACTTTTATTTTTTTTGTAGAATCAGAAGACTTTGAAAATTCATCTTCTCATTGAATCATTTTTTCCAACATTGTATAAATAGTCAAAACAAAAATACGAATAAACTTTCACTTTAATTTAAACCAATTTCATGGTATTAACTCCATTCTTTAAACGAACCAGATCCCGTTTCTGAACATCACTTTCCAATTTAAATGCCGTTTTATTGGCCTTCTTTTCCAGTCTTCTTTCTCGTTTCAATTCCTTGAAGGCCATTTTTCTTGCTTTCCTTTCCTCTGGAGTTTCGGTTGGATCTCTTTCGGAAAGATCTTTAATCCTCGATGCTCTTGAATAGTTGGACCTTACATCAGAACACTTTTCCATATTATCGCTGCCATCTAATTCTCTTAAATTTTTCTTGGTTAATCCAGTATTTGGTGGGACAACAATTCCATTAACTGGATCAATGTTTATCTTTTTAGATGACCTGGTTGCTGTACGAATCATCTTTGGATGATTGTAGAGAGTTGAATAAGTTGATAAAATTGATTCACAATCGTAAAGTCTTTCCCGGTGTTTACCAGCATCTAATTCAATCTCCAATTGAACTAAATTACTTTCATCGTCTGAATCTTTCTCTTCACCATCTAAACCATTTAATAGTAAAGTTTTTAATTTATCTTCATCAGAAATTTTCCCTGTTTCAAGCATTTCATTCTGCTCTTCAATCAATTGTTTTAAAGCTGAATTTGCGTCCAAAGGTCCTTCAATATCATCAAGATCGAGAGCTCCCATGTCCATATCATCAGCATACTCCTTTTCAAACATTTCTTCAAATTTTTCATCTAAAATAAGTGAAAGTGAAAAAACATGAAAATCTTAGTCTCAACTCTGATAAATGTTTTTCTCTTATAAAATCAAAAATCTCCACAACTCACCAATCAAGGTTAATCCAGCATTTCGAGGTACAACTGATGAGGTGTACGAATAATCAGTAAAAACCGATTTGGTTTCTTCTTTGGAAAATTTTTTTCCCAATTCACCTGGAAAATCATTGTCCTCTTCATCATCTTCACCTTCATGGTCACCCCATGGATCAAATTCTTTTCCGTGTGGCAGTTCAAAATCTTCCCCAGTCTCTCCATCATCGTATACCAACCTTTCCTTTTCAAATCGAGCAATTGAATAACCAGGGTTACCTTTATCCTCTTCACCAACACACTCAAAGTCTTGATCAACACCACCATCCAAAATTTCAGCTAAATAATCATCGGTTAATTGATTGGCTGGATTATCGAGGTCAAAATCATCGTCAAGAGCTTGAAAAATATCTGGATCCATAGCTGATTATCAATATATAACTGAATTAAAACCAAAACTAATCAACAATTAGATCTAATAAACCATCACAACAAAATCACAACAAACGAATTTAAAGTCAACTGATTTAATGAACACATGTTCCAAATCGATAGTATCAATCGATTCGATTTTCAATACTATCGATTGGTCAGATTTCGAATCGAAATGTTTTGTTAGTGTTTCGATTTTGCTTCTTCTTTTCCATTTCGTTTCACCAACGAATCGTTGCGATTTTATCTTCCTTATTACTTCCCGAATTAACTAATTTGTTATCGATTATAATCAACTAATTTACTTGTACGTATTTGTGCCCCTCTCCAAGTCAAACAATAATCACTTAAATCATTTTTATAATTACATCAATTACGATTAACTTTAGGCCTACCACAATTCACGTAAACTTTTATTGTTATCATTAATAGTTTCATCTTCCACTTTAATTCTCATAATCTCATATGTTTGTATAAAGAACGAACAGAAACACGAAAAGATGTCGAACACTAGTCAAATCGAATAAATAAATAATCATTTTGAGTCTAATCAAATGTATTGTAATCATTTAAATCGATTCACTGGTGTTGGAAAATTGATTTAATCAATTCAAAATGAAACAGTAATGGAAAAACTGGTGATAGAAAATAGTTTTTTTTCAATTTAAACACTAGAGAGATTTACTTTTTCTGATTAGAGATTTAATCGGCAATAAAATCTTTGATTATGTCGGAATCAGAAATCATTTCCCCACTCGATTCGCCGATTTCATGGATAATTGTTGTTGGTACTTCTATTATGGTTAATGAGCGACTTGATGATTGAGAATCTTCTTGAACAATTCTGCTCCTTTTACTTGGACTGGTAATGACAATGTCAGAATCTCGTTTAACTGCATTGATACCTGATTTAACGCTTACAATTTCCAGGTCATCATCTTTATCTCCGGTGTCACTTTTACTTGTTTTAACTGTGTCACCACTTTCAACATCGTAAACAATACAATCCCCATTTCCAGGAGAATTATCAATCTCTTTAGAATCTTCTTGAATCATTATTACATCGGTAGTTTTAGTGTCTTCATCTAGATTGTCAAAACCTTCAAGTTCGTCATCAGCATCAGTTTCCACTTCATGAGTATCACCATTTGTTTGAGAAGTTGGTGTGATTAGAGCTTTGTCGGAATTTCCATCAATCGGTTCTTCGGGTGGTTTCTCGGTGAGCTCTTCAGTTTTCTCCTTTTCTTGATTCTTTTCCTCCTCTGGACATGAATTCTCAGTGGTTACGATTTCATGCTCATTTAGAACATTTTCATCATTCTCAGTATCTTCGTATGTGAATGGGTTGGTGGCAGAAGTTTCATTGATTCTTAATATTTTCATAGGGTTAACTATTCCGTTGAGAGATCTTAATGATTCAAGACAAAATTCTCGTATCAGACTAGAAGAATCAATATTGAGAGCTTTTTGTAGTAAATTCAGAGTAATTCCTATGGGTATGGTTTCATCTTCTTGGCTAAGTAGAACTATCAATGAAATTAGTTCCTTACGAGTCTCAGGTTTCCCATAAAAAAGCGACGAAGATATAGAATATCTGTAAAGTGAAAGTACTTCTTCGAGGACAAATGTCGCAAAGAAAGTCACCTGATCCAAAGGTAAGAACATGAAACAATTCTTCAACAGAATTACTCGCTGAAAATTAAGAAAATGGAAACAATTAGAATCAATATAATTTGATGTATAATACAAAAAGAGATAAATACCTTTCAAACAATTGAAATGTAGCGAATTCAACTTATCCTTAATGAAGGGCGTTGATAAGGCGGCATCAGAATTTTTCCCTGATTTATCCTTTTTGATGTTTCTCAGCTGAAAATGAAAAGAAAATTGAATTAAATTCTTTACTATGAAACTTCCAGTCTTTTCATTTTTACCTCAATTTGTTTCTGTCCAAGCTTCATATCCATCATAAAGTGTTTGAATAGAGAATCAGCTGAATCTTTATCAATCATCATGTTAGGTCCAGTTACGGTAAACCATTGATTTAATATTCGATAGCAATGATTTTTCAAATCAAAGATACACAATTTGGACATGACTGCTGGTGATGATGACGTTGTTAAAGTAATAGACTTTTGTAACGAGTCACTCGTGTTCGTAGCAATTTCCATGATTCCAATTAAACTTGCATAGATTAACTTTGAATGAATAATTAAAACTTTTCGTAGGACGGAAATTAATTGCTCTAAGACACTGAGAGAATGCATTTGAATGGACAAGATTGTTAATGCAAGACAAGGATCTTTAACATAAAGAACATCAAGTTTAACCAATGAAGCTCGAGAGATTAATTGTAATATACAAGTTACAGGAACTAAATAACCGGTGGTACAAGGATCTTGTAGCATTTTACAGGCAAGAGCCAAAGCTTTGTAACTTTGTTCCAATTTCATTCGGCGATAAAATTTTCCTTCTCATGTAGTTCAATAAGGTTGGTAGTTTTTTATTTGTAAGTTTGAGACTTTCAAATGCTGTAAGAGAAAACGGAAAAAAGTAGAAAAATAAGTAAACCAAACGTGGATTGAATAATAATCAATTGAACTGATTGATTGTTGACTTTACTTACGAACTCCCCATGATGAAAATCTATCCAAAATAGAGTTCATATTGTCGATAACGGAACAAAAATGGTCAAACCAACTATTTTTAGCTGTTGCATTTGACTGACCGGGAGTTGGACAATAATGAATATTAGCCAATATTGAGACCAAAATCTAAAGAAAAAAAGAAGGAAATTTAGATTTGATTCGTTAATTGCAATTGTTGACAGTTTATATTCACCTGAAAACCACTATTGCAACTTTGAATATTTTTACTGATGAAAGTGTTGATAATATTTTTTTTAGAGCCACAAGATCCGGGATATTTGGTGACACAAGTAAGAAGTACTTTATAAACTAAAGCTGAATCACATTTCTCAATGATATAATTGTTACGGCAAATATATTCAACTATTTGACTGACAATGTGAAGACTTAATTTACGTCGAGTATTGTCATCGTTATGACCTACTAACAGTAGTTTATCCAAGAGTTTTAGAGCGATATTTTACCAGTCCAGTTTGATCCCTAGAAAAGATTGAAAGAAAAATGAAATACAAATATTCACAGGATTGGAAGGGTGAATCTATCGAAAAGGAATGGATCATGAGGAAATAAACCTTCCAACCTCAATGTATGAGACACAAGAAGCCCAATTTTGAAATTCTCTCCTAAAAGTTCATTTGGCATTTCCATGAGATATTCTTGAATAAGCAGAAATCCATGTACCCTAAAAATAGAAAACAAGTGAAAATTGTTAATCTTCAATCTCAACATGCTGATTGGAACAAAACAATTAAGACTTACCTTCTAGTTGGTGAAGAAAGAGAATTAATATGAGACTGGAAGGTATCATGATATTTATTATCCTGAAAATCAATTCGATCGAAAGAAGAAAAAGAAACCAAATAAATAAACCGAAAAGCTGAAAATGAGAATAATTGACTCACCCGATTATAAATAGATTTAAAGTTCCTATTTTGATTTATTAACTGGATTGTTTGATTGAATGGGACAGAAGAGTGGAATACTTGATTTAGAAAATCAGCCATAATTAATTAATTAATTTCACTCTATTTGAAGAATCAAGCAAATCAAAATAAGAAATTAAGTCAACAAAAACAAGAGAAAATTGTGAATCCAACGTGTGTTGTCATGGTAACCGATCAGCCGGTTAACAGAATCTTTTTCAAAATCGTTTCGCCATTTACCTTTAATTTGCTTCTCGCATCTTTTCAACAATTGAAGATTATTTGGAATAATTTATTTCATTTATTTGAGATGGATTGTTTTTTTAGTTCTGACGTCGGTCATTCATTTGTCATTTTTTGATCTTTTTGAAATTTGACAGCATCGACTATGTCATACAGTGTTTCCCGATTGAAGAAACCAAACTTTCAAATGAGAACCCCAATGCTTTTACTCGTATAACAATTGTCACCAATTGGTTGAGATTTCGGACCTTAATTTTTCATTAATTAATTTTTGTCGAAAATCGGTCTAAAAATGAAGTTTCACATTAATTGTGCTTGTAGATTTGATTCAAATTCAATTTTGAATCGAAATTAATCACAATTAAAAATCAATAAAAATCATTTTGATTTCTTCAAATGAAATCTTGGTTTCTTCATTTGGTGATTTTTTCAAATGAAAAAAAGGTTTTGTCATTTGAAATTTTGGTTTCTTCAAACGGGAAACACTGTAAGTCTGTTCTCAGTTTATACAGATAATCTCTTGTGTATTTTTCGATTTAATTTGGTGAACAGCGTCGGATGATGAATAGGCCTAATCTTTGTTAGATCAGACTAGAAGAATCAATATTGAGAGCTTTTTGCAGCAAGTTCAGAGTAATTCCTAAGGGTATGGTTTCATCTTGGCTAAATAGTACTATCAATGAAATTAGTTCCTTACGAGTCTCAGGTTTCCCATAAAAAAGCGACGAAGATATAGAATATCTGTAAAGTGAAAGTACTTCTTCGAGGACAAATGTCGCAAAGAAAGTCACCTGATTCAAAGGTAAGAACATGAAACAATTCTTGACAAACGAATTACTCGCTGAAAATTAAGAAAATGGAAACAATTAGAATCGATATAATTTGATGTATAATACAAACAGTATAATGTAAACACATTGTATATCTTAGATAATCAATTGTGTAAATTTTTACAAATCAATTTCTCGTTTCACTCAGGAATTGGATTGAAATTTAATTCGATGTTCCATGCGAATAATAGATTTAATCAATCGCCATAGGAATTAAAAGGACGAGAATTTGTTTTGTTAGTTTCTCTTACAATCTCAAAAGAATTGATTCAACATTTATCTTTATCTATTGCAAATCATCAATATCAAAGGAGCAACTCTGTGAATATTAACTAATAGATAAATTATACAGTTGTATTAATAAGTTATCTTATTCAGTTTGAGTTTGGTCATCAGAAAAGTGGTTCAGGTGGAGCATAATGAAATCTTTAAAGGGAAAAAAAAATTCGCCATTTGAAAACTTGAGGCAAGTTTATCGATTGATTATTGGTTTACCTCGGGATGACATCGATATCAGGGGACAGACCATCAAGTCCCTTCTTCGGTTCAATATATTCTACGAGATTTTCCTTGTACCTCATCTTGGTTATTATTTAGAGGGAACAACCAAATTATTTATTGTGAATTATTACAAACTTAGGATCAACTTACTTCGAGTTTTCTTTCTTGTTTATATTTTACGTTCAATTTTTTTGCTTTCAACTGAAAATGAGTCTATCCAAATCGCTTTGGGAGATGTAGCTTTCCGTTCACAAGATCACATGGCAGTTAATTTAGCTTTATTTGTTGGATTAACAAGTTTCATTATACTTCGAGAATGGATGATTTATATTGAAATGAAAGGTAAAATCATTTGGTACGAGTTTATTAATAAAATTCCTACGGTTTCAGATCCAAAATTTTATCGACTCACTGATCGGCGAATGAGAGAATATCTCAATTATATTTTCATAAGCACTACTTTCTTTACTCGATTGATAATCTCTGCAATTCCTTTCAGCATTGCATTCGTAGCTGGTCCATTCATCGTTAACCCTTGGTTTTACAAGCTTGCTAAATTGCGAATCACTGTACTACTATGGGGATTCATAACGTTTTATTCAGTATTGCACATAATTATTACATGTTACGGTCTTGGGAATTTTTTTTCATACATCGTAGCTTATTATACGTCTCGATTACATTCTTGCATTGATGCTGCTATCGCATTACGATACAATAACAATGAGATTAATATTACAAGACTTTTGAAGGAAATTGACGGATATTTTTACAATTACGATAAAACAGCTGATTCGATTCGGTACATAGTGTTGTTTAGTTTTACAGTTGCAGTTGCAACTGCAGATACATTCATCTTTTTTGGCCTAATTTTTCAAACGACTTCGAAAGTTTTTTCTCATTGTGCTACATTTTTGGCAACACTTCTTACTTTCTTCCTTGCATTAATTTCATATATAAATGGTCTTTGTATTGTCAAAGTAAGTAGAGTAAACAAATTCTTAGGATTAAGAATTAAGGACTTTAACTCGACAATTACAATTGTAATTGTCAATTTCTTCTTGTTTTCCAGCATGAAAGATTAAGTGTTCATCTTTACGCTATAAGCAAATTCAGCAGGACAAAAGTTTCAACGAAAATAAAGGTTCGATAATAATACTTTTGTTAAGATCTAGTCAGATAAACTTTTTTATCATTAGATTCTCAATACAGTGGATCGATTGTTATTTCCTGGAAATGGTTTCAAACTTGGTCATTTAACAAACATTGATAATGAATTTTGGCTAAAGGTAAACATTTTTTTTATCATGTTAATTATAAAATTTGAGATTTTGAGTTCCATAATAACCATAATAAAATTTTTTTACAGTTCATTTTGGAACTTGCTTCAACCCTCATGCTGCTAATAATAAACCTAAGATCAATAATCAAATATTAAATTATCGTTACTTATCCTAATCCTAATCGTTACTAAGGCATTGTCAACTGTTGGAATCGTCTTTCAGTATCGGCTAGCCTGGACTTGTTCAGATTGAAGTCTGTATTTGCATCATGATCAGAATTGTTTTGAAAATTGATTAGCTGGGCTTATTTTTTTATTTTCACCATTCGAAACCAAACCGTACACGATCGAGTGAGCTAATAAAGCACGAAGCGAATTTTCACTAGTTTGATAAATCCAACGGTCGAAAAAAGAATTGAACACAATGCATTGTACAATATCTAAATCTATTTGAATTTTACAAATAAACGACATATTTAATGGCTATTAAATAAACATCTATTCTAGAATAGATATTGAATAATACCGTAAATTGTTTGGCCGTTATAATAACACAGAAATTGAAGGCAAAGTTCAATGAAAAGAGAAATTATCTTGATTACAATCGTAATTCATCGATGAATTACCATACATTTCTCCAATGTTTGATGTGAGGAATATAATGATGTTCGTCATTATGATGATGCCAATTGTCCTTGAGAATAATATTATCACCTTTCTTCTTATCGGTATTAAGAATTGTGTGATGATGTTTGTCTTTGATCACAATATTGGTTCCTTTTTGACCACAATCGATGGTTTAATTAAGAAAATTATAATAAAATAAAAATTAATAAAAACTTGAAATAATATTATTTCATCAATCAATGTTTTAATTATATTAAGAAACAAAGAATAATTTTTTGATCATATTGACTATGGGTTGAGAAAGTGAGCTCACTTATTTTGATCAAATTCGGATGGTTATTGTTAATTGTTTGAGATGCGATAAGTGAATGCTACTTTTGTTTCGAAAATATTTTCATTCATTTTACTATTCCTGTGGTCAACTGCTCTATTTAATCCGCAGCTTACACTTAATTGAATGAGAGTTAACTTTATGAATTATTAGTATGATCAATATGATATTTGTTTCTCTACTTATACTCAACAAATATTATATCTCTTTCAAAACCGAACTAATTTATTCAAAAATTAAGCTACTTACTAATAACAGTAAATTACTTCCTCGCTTGAAATTAATCATTTTTCAAAATTACTTAAGGTAATAATAAATAATAAGGTAATGGGGTTTAACTCAACAATTAAGAACTAATCAATCTAGCCTAATTATGGCTTAATCTTTATGTGTTAGCCTTTTAGAAAATGCGGAAAAGAATATTAATCCAAATAATTTTACAGAAAAACAAACGTTATATAAATGTCAGAACTTCTTACCAAAAAATTCATTCCACCATCGCATCTCAAACACGCAAGTTGTTAGTATTAATAAAAGCTTTACAAGTGAAATTTTAACTCCAAAAACAGTCAATATGATGTCTAAATTGTTTGTGTTTTTCTTAATTGTTTCATCAATCATCTTCTCCACCATCGATTGTGGTCAAAAAGGAACCAATATTGTGATCAAGGATAAACATCATCACACAATTCTAAATACCGATAAGAAGAAAGGTGATAATATTATTCTCAAGGACAATTGGCATCATCATAATGACGAACATCATTATATTCCTCACATCGAACACTGGGGACACGAATGGGGACACGGATGGTAATTTCTAATCAAAATCCTCAATCGTCCTCTCTTTTTCATTATATGTTTATTGAATCGTTATCTGGTCATTACGATAATAAACCTCTTTCGATACTTTCATACATATTCCATCAGCTTCCAATGTCTCCATTAACTAAATGGAGACGTAAGGCTAAGCCTATTTTTGGCTGAAAAGTTGACTCAATAAACTAATTTCTTCTTAATTTCTCATTTTTTTCCATCACCATGTTTAAATTATTTCATGTGAATATATTGTTTTAATTTGTCTTCAATCATTTAACTAAACTTGGTCTTTTGGAAATATTAATAATACATTATGTAATATTTACAATGATCACATCTCGGGTTTATGATAAGTTAATCATTGATTAATAATCATTGAGTTTAGTTACTCCGGTCAATTGATTGTATAGTCACAATATTGATTGTTGTTTTCCTACTCATCTCAAACTTATACAGTCGTGAAAAATGAGTTTCGAATGGTTTTTAATCATTCGCGCAACTTAGCTACTAAAATCAATTGATAATCTTTATCATCAGTGATAAGACTTAGATGATTTACTCATTGATTTTTCTTATCTTGATTGTTTAATCTGTTAATTTTAGTCACTACCTGCGCGAATGATTAAAAACCATTCGAAACTCATTTTTCACGACTGTATAAGTTATATCACACAATACTGTGATTAGATAATGAGCATTTCGATCAAAACTGTTAACTAGCCGTTAAATAGTCGAAAAAGTTAATTAGTTGAAATCAGAAAAACTTAAATAATCTTTATAACGTAACTTGTTCGCTTAAACTTGTTGGTGTTCAATTGGCAT